CAGCAACCTTAATTCCGGCTCTTGGTTCATCTAGCCTGGCACTTCACATGACGTATTTGACATATAAGTTAAATAAATAAGGTGATAATGTACAGCCTTGTGGCATTCCTTTCCCAATCTTAAACCAATCAGTTGTTCTATGTTCAGTTCTAACTGTTGTGTCTTGACTTACATTCAAGTTCCTCAGGAGACAAGTGAGATGACCTGATACTCCCATCTCTTTGAGGACTTCCCAATTTTATTGTAATCCACACAGTCAAAGGCTTAGTGTAGTCAATGAAGCAGAAGTAGATGTTTTTATGGAACTCTCTTGCTTTCTCCATAACCCTGTGAACACTGGCAATTCAGTTTCTAGTTCCAGCTAGGTGGTGCAGTGGATAGGGCACTGGGTCTAGAGTCACAAAGACCTGATTTCAAATCCAGCCTCAGACACTAGCTGTGTGACCATGGACAAGTTGCTTAACCCTTTTAGCCCCAGGAACGGCAAACCACTTCAATATCTTTGCCAAGAAAACCCCAAATGGGGTCACAAATAGTTGGACACTATTTAAATGACTGAACAATAACAACAATCCTCTGCCTCTTCAAAAGCCAATCTGAACTTCTCATAATTCTTGGTTCACAAATTGTCAAAGCCTAGCTTACAGAATCTTAAATATAAGCTTGCTGTCATGTGAAATTAGCACCATTGTTCAGTAATTTGCACATCCCTTGGCATTGCCTTTCTTTAAGATTGGGACATAGGGGCAACTAGGTGGCGTAGTGGATAGAGTTCTGGCCTTGGAGTCAGGAGGACCTGAGTTCAAATCTGGCCCCAGACAGTTAACATTTACTAGCTGTGTGACCCTGGACAAGTCACTTAACCCCGATTGCCTCACCAAAAAGCAAAAAAAAAAAAAAAGATTGGGACATAAACTGATCTTTCCCAATCCAGTAGCCACTAGTGAGTTTTCCAAATATGCTGGCATATTGAATGCAGCACTTTAGTAGCAGCATCTTTTATGGTTTTAAATAGCTCAGCTGGAATTCCATCACCTCTACTAACTTTATGAATAGTAATGCTTCCTAAGGCCCACTTGACATCATTCTCTAGGATGTATGACTTTAGATTAATAACCACACCATCATGATTATTTGTGAAGTTAAGATCTTTCTTATATAGTTCTCTATATTCTTGCCACCTCTTCTTAATCTCTTCTACTGTTAAGTTCCTACCATTTTGTCCTTTATCATGCCCATTTTTGCATGAAATATTCTCGATATCTCTTCTTTTCTTTTCTTTTTTCTTCAGGCAATTGGGGTTAAACACAGCTAGTAAGTGTCAAGTGTTTGGTCAAAGGCCAGATTTGAACTCAGGTCCTCCTGACTTCAGGGCTGGTGCTCTACCCACTGCACCACTTAGCTGCCCCTATCTCTTATTTTCTTGAAGAGATCTGTTTTTCCCATTCTATTGTCTTTTCTATTTCTTTGCATTGCTCATTTAAGAAAACCCACTTATCTCTCCTTGTTAGCCTCTGGAATTCTACATTCTACATACCTTTTCCTTTCTCCTTTACCTTTTGCTTTCCTTCTTTCCTCAGCTATCTGTAAAGACTCATCAGATAGCCATTCTGCTTTCTTACTCTTTTTCTTTGGGTTGCTTTTGGTTGCAATCTTGTGCAATATTGTTAGCCTCTGTCCGTAGCTCCTCAGATACCAGATGTAAGTCCTTAAGTCAATTAATCACTTCCATTTCATATTGACAAGGGGTGTTATTCAGGTCATAACAATATGGCTTGACAGACTTCCCTAATCTCTTCAATTTAAGTCTGAATTTTGCAATAAGAAGCTCATGATCTCAGTCACAGTCAGCTCAAGGTCCTGTTTTAACTGACAGTATAGAGCGTCTCCACCTTTGGCTGCAAAGTACATAATCAATCTGATTTTGATATTGATATCTGGTGATGTCCATGTGTAGATTTGTCATTTGGGTTGTTTAAAAGGAGTGTTTGCTTTGACCAACAAGTCATCTTGACAAAACTATTAGTTTCTGCCCTGCTTCATTTTGTACTCCAAGGCCAAACTTGTCTGTTATTCTAATTATCTTTTTATTTCCTACTTTAGTATTCCAATCCCCAATGGTGGATGTGACATCATTTTTGATGTCATTTCTAGAAGATGTAAATCTTCATGCAGCTGATCAGCTTTGGCCTCTTCAGTATCAGTGGTTGGAGCATAAACTTTGAATGGTTTGCCTTGGGTTCGAACAGATACTATTGTGTCATTTTTGAGATTATACCCCTATACTACTTTTCTCTCCCTTTTATTGACTATGAGGGCTACTCCATTTCTTCTAAGGGATTCTTGACCATAATAGTATATGCAATAATCACATTAATTAAATTCACACATTCCCATCCATTTACGTTCACTGACACTCAAGATGTTGATGTTTAATCTTTCTATCTCCTGTTTGACCATGTCCAGATCACCTTGGCTCACAGATGTCATATTCCAGGTTCCTTGGTAGTATTGATCTTTACAACATTGGACTGTCCTTTTGTGACCAGACACATCTGCAACTGAGCTTCCTCTCAGCTTTGACCCAGCTACCTCTTTCTTTTTGGAGCTACTTGTAGTTGTCTTCCACTCTTTCCCAGTAGCATATTGGACACCTTCTGACCTGAGGGGCTCATCTTCTGATGTCATCACTTTTAATAATGTCCATGGCAAAGATACTGGAGTGGTTTGCCATTTCCTTCTCCAGTGAATCACTTTTTGTCAGTATGCTCCACTATGACCTGTCCATTTTGGGAAACCATGCATTGCATGGCTCATAGTTTCATTGAGCTACACATTTGTTTTACTTGTAATTATTCCCTCCCTAGCTTTATCCTCCCACTTAGGCTATCCCTCTCCTATGTCCACTTATTTTCTTGTTGGGTGTGATGTATTTCTTTGTGTGGTTATGTCTGTTTCAAATAAGAATAAGGTTTGTCTGCCTGTTGCCCCCACTCCTTTCTCCATATTTGTATAATTTTCTCACACCCAATTTGTGAGAATAGCTGCTTTTATCCCTTTCTCACTTCTTTCTATACTAGAGCATTCCTTTTACCTCCTTTTTTTTCTTTCCCCTCTTCAAATTTTCAGAATAGAACCAATCTATATTCAGAATATCTGGATTTTTTGTTGTTGTTGACTACTCAGTACATGTTGAAGACATTAAGGTTCTGAAGAGACATTTGTTTCTTTTTCCCTCTATTAGAATGTCAGTACAACATCATCATACAGCTCCTTCCAATTGCTCAATAAATTTACCTATGTTTTTCTGGATTCATTTTTTTGTATTTCAAAATTCTCACTCAGTTCTAGTCTTTTCATCAGAAATGTTTGAAAGTCTTCTATAAAACTAAAGGTCCATTCTCTTCTTCCACACCCATATGATTACACTTAGCTTTTCAGGATAAGTTTTTGTTTGGTTGGTTGTTTTTTGTTTTTTGTTTTTGTTGTAAGCTTATATATCATTTGCCTTTTGGAATACTGTACTCCAATATCTCCTCTGGTTTTTAATAGAAGCTTCCAGGTCTCATGTTCCCATTTGATGATGCAGACATCAAAGTGCTTTGAGGGTCCTTAGCAGGTAGGGACCCTCAAAATAATTCAGAGATTTAACAAATGGGATAATATTGAGCTCCTTTAGATTACCTGACTTCATCTTTTATTCTGGACTTCTCACCGGATTCAGTTTTATTGAGATTAAATCAGAGACATGTAAATTATAATGCGCAATTTCAGATTACAATTTCAAACCTAGAAGAGCTGAGTAAGAAAAAAGAGACAAAGCACTGAACTGAAGGCAAAAATAAATTAATAAAATTAAAACTAAATGGAAGCAAACCATATGTACTCCTGAGGGCCAGTACAGTGGCTAATTTATTTGACAGTCTCATAGATGCAGCCTCAAAAGATGCCTTTTCCAAAGCATTACCCTGAGGAAGAAAAAACCCACAACCATCAGAAAACCCATAGAGGGTTTGGACAACAGCTCCTCTAATTTTTCACAGAACAGAATGGTTAGGTATCATAACAAAAAGATTCACCACAGGATTCCTATTAATAGTGAGCACCAGTGGAGTGATCCCTAAACTTTTATTATCACAGAGGTGACTATTAGTTAAAAAAAAAAACAGAGAAAGAATATATAGAAATAATAATATTTAAATTACATACAGGTGATACAATTGATAAAGTTCCGGGCTTGAAGTCAGGAAGACCTGGCTTCAAATCATTCTTCAGACACTAACTGTGTGATCCTGGGCAAGTCATTTAATCTCTTTTAACCTCAGTTTTCTCATCTATAACATTAGGACTTTAGACCTCATAGCCTCTAAAGTCCTTTCCACCTCTAAATTTATGATCCTATGTATTTACTGTGCATAATTCTATGATTCTATGATCCTACATGTACTACTGAGTACATGTAATACATATAATGTATATAAGTACATATAATGTATTATGTACATTGTAGAATATACACAAAACAGACATTTAAATATATGATAATGAAAGAATCAATTTTTTAAATTTTATTTTTAGTGGTACAAAAACCCCTTTTGCTCTCATTAAAATATTATTAATAAAAACATTTTTAGTGAGAGCAAATGGAAGTGAATGTGCTTTGTTATTTTTGAAGAGTTCCTGTGTATTTCTGGGGCGGGGTAGAAAAACTTGAAAATAACAATTGTTTATAATAATTGGTTGTTTAACTTACTTGATCAGTGCAGCTAGACAAACAGATGAATTTATTTGGAAGAGATTATTTCTTAAAAAAAAAAAGCTATTCAGTACAATAAACACAACTTTTCAGCAGAAGTCATGTTTCTCTTGAGTACAGAGATTCATCATATACAAGGCAAAAAGAAGCCAAAGTGAATTTTCCTTATTTCAAATCAGCAGAATGTTTTCAATATAAATTACATAATCTTTATTTGCATGTGCAAGGGACTGCCCCCTCTGTTATGTGGCCATTTTAGTTGCTTTAGGAGAGAAGAAAAATAATACTTGTGTAAAGAATACAGATAAAATCATCTTGAAAAGGAACACAGACCCTCAGATCAAAATGCTTAAGAAGAAACAGACTGTTCTGAGCACCAGAGAAATCTGTCCCTCAGATAAATGTGATGACAGGACCTGGAAGAAGGGGGAAGGTGATTCAGTCTGGGTGTTTTGCTCATTTAGGTTATTTGTGTTTCCATGGGTGTATCCAAATGCAGCTTACAGAGAATTGTGTGAAGGATGAAAGATGAAATAACTGAGGAAAACAAAGGTTTGATCTTCTAAGCATTTCAATTCATTAAGCAATTCATTTCCTAACAAACCAAAACCAGACCTCTTGAGTTCAGGCCTGGATCCCAAATATAGAGGGAGACAGACATTTATACATTAAAATCAGTTAATCAAATAAGACCAATTAATTAAAAGGAAACAATACAATATTAGGTAATCTAATTTCTAATTGGATGAAAGATCAGAGACTTTCCAAGTTGGGAAAGGGAAAGTAAACAGGTACAATTCCTTGAAATCAAAAAAGGAGGTGTTCTATTCTCCCCTCCCCAGAAAGCCAGGGATATTTCCCCCCCAGGGTTCAGCTCAGTGCTGGAAAGGGGAGCTCAACTGAAAGCTGCTATGTACACAGAATGAAGTGGAAGAAGTGTGCTGTATACCTCTAAGTATTGAAGGTAAGTCTAATTGACCTTTGGTATGAAAAAAGTGTAAAATTTTGGTGAATTGTTGGAAATAGTAAATCAGTTTGAATAAGATAGAAACACAGTTAAACCTTATACCAGGATATCTTCCCAGTTATCAACCACAGACCTCAAGGAAAGGTTACCTTATATTGTTCATACTTGGGAGCTGAAACCCATCAATACTCTGATGACTAATGTAACATCAAAGAAAACCATTCTACTCAATGTAACCATGCAGCAAGAGACCCTTCTAGACAATCTGAAAGAGAAGAGATAGCTTTTGTTATAACTATGGATTAGATGGACAAATAATGTGTTCCAGAATGAGGAATAAAGTTTTGGTGTGTGAGAAGCAGAATTCCAAATAGTCAACTTCTGGAAATAGATCTGGGGCCAATGATGAAGGTCCTCATGGACCCAAAACCCAGTAAAAATGTCCTTATACTCAATGAAGTTACTATAAGTTGATTCATCAAGATACTGTTAGGGGGAAAAAATGTTTACTGTTAAAACTGTACAGGAACAGCTAAGTAGGGCTATGGATAGAGTGCCAGGCCTAGAATCAAGAAGACCCATTTTTGTGACTTCAAATCTGGCCTCAGACATATACCAGCTATGTGACCTTGAGCAAGTCACTTAACCCTGTTTGTCTCAGTTCCTCATCTGTAAAATGAACTGCAGAAGGAAATGGCAAACTACTCCAGTATCTTTGCCCAGAAAACACCAAATGGGGTCATGAAGCATTAGACACAATTTTTTCTTGCCTTTTTTTTTAAGGCAATTGGGGTTAAGTGACTTGCCCAAGGCCACACAGCTAGTAAGTGTCAAGTGTTTGGTTTGAGGCCGGATTTGAACTCAGGTCTTCCTGACTTCAGGGCCGGTGCTCTATCCACTGCGCCACCCAACTGCCCCAGCGTTAGACACAATTGAAATGACTGAACAACAAAAATAAATATAACTTGCTACTGATACAGTTGTTAAGTGTACTCAAGGGAAGAATTGTCACTTGTAGTAAATGTTACTTTTCTTATTTTTGCTTTCTAATGAGCGAATGTTATAATTATTCTTGCTTTTGCCTTATTGCTTAGTAAATGTTTCATGTTTAAGTCAAAGATGTCAATGTGAATGATTTTATATAAATGAGAATCACGCCATTGGGAAGTTGCTGGCAAAATTCATGAGTTGTCAAAATTTCTCCCTCTCTCTCTCTCTCTCTCTCTCTCTCTCTCTCTCTCTCTCTCTCTCTCTCTCTCTCTCTCTCTCTCTCTCTCACACACACACACACACACACACACACACACACACACATATTATTCTCAAGGACTCAAAGCATCTGATGCCACCTGGCAATGGCCATGGTAATTCTCCTCCTCTGGGGAAATCCCCTATATCTGCCACAGTAGATACAGGCTGTAATTGAGCCAGCCCCTAGGGAGGGAGGAGGGCTTGTGGGTGACACACTAGGTGCCATGCCCAGGCTATAAGTATGTAACTGTGACCATGTGTGGGGATAGGTATATGCCTTGGTCCTTTTTTGGTAGATCCCTTTTCTAAAGGTCATGCACAATCATAATTTTCTGGTTGGTTCCCAATCTTTCCCTCACTTCCACGATGGGAATGGACATATGTCAAAGAGGATTAGCCACTGAGTGGGAAAAATCTCTCACTCAATAGACTTTAAAAGGAGAGATGACTTCTGCTTCCAATCTTTCCTTTCTCTTCCCTTCTGAATTCCATGCCCCGTGACTCCTCCAGCTCCCCTTTGGTCTCTCTATGAAGGAAAAGAGGGACTTCTCATTTTTTCCTTTCCTGTCAACTATGCCTGTTGCTCCAACAAGGCAACAAGACTGTATGCTTTCCTATAACAGCCTTACAGTGGATCTCAAGGCCCAATCTGCCTCTTGTGTTTCATATCTCTTGGTTCTGCTTAATGGATGGTATCATAACTTACTTTCTTATTCATATTTGTATATTTTAACTCCATTTTTGTAGGAGTCTGAGGAGCAGAAATGTTATTTTGAAAGGATTGTAGAAAGTAGGAAGGGGAATGATAAGGCTGGAATATGGAGACAGGTCGGAAAAGGTTTTAAATGCTTGAGAGAGGAGTTTATATCTGATCCTAGAATCATTAGGCAGCTAGTAGAGCTTATTGAACACGGAGGTTACATAGCCAGATCTGAACTTTATGAAAATCATTTTGACAGATATGTGGAGTATGGAATAGAGGGGAGAAATATTTGAGACAGAGAGACCAAATGGAGGGCCATTACAATAGACCAGGAGAAAAGGGGATAAGATTGGTAGCTGTGTGAGTAGAGAGAAGGGGATGGATTTGATGGCTGTAGAGATAGAAAAGACAAGATTTGGCAACAGCTTAGATAATCTGAATGAGAGAATATCAGGAGTTGAGAATGACACCAGGGCTACAAACCTGGGGAACTGGAAGGATGATGGTGTCCTTGGGAGAAATAGGGAGGTTTAGAAGAGGGGTCAGTTGGGAAAGAAAGATATTGGAAGAAACCCATAGTTCACACCCATCTGTGCCTGCTCATCCTGTGCTAGTTGCAGCTTTTTTTTTTTTGAGATGATCCTAAACTAACTCTAGGTAAAAACAATGAGTTCACATGAGCAACTTACCTATTTGAAGTCAGCCCCAAGAATTTGACCGAAGTCTACATGAACCCAAAGACCTTGACAAGGACAGGGAGCACTTGTTACAAGGGAGTTGAACCAAATCATCTCTAAGGCCCCTCTGAAATATGAAATAAATTTTTATAATTGACATACACAAAATTTTAAGAAAGCAGTTATTTCAACAAAAGTAAAACAGAGCTGCCGGGTTTTAGCCACTGTGAAGATACTCACTGCCCAACTTTCATGCAGAAGTTCCCTAAGTCGGGGGTTGAGGGGTGATCTCTGTGGTCAAATGGGAGGAGCCAGCTGTTTGCACAATTGATCAGTGTGGCTACCAAGAGGCTTTGCTGCTCAATTTCTATATCACAAAAGTCAAGCATCATGAGTAGTTCACTTTACTAGCCACAGCAAAGTCTCCTCATCTCTGGCAGCAGATGTGACTAATTGCCGAGTCCTTTCCATTGGGGGTATCCTGAAAATGAGAAGCATATCCTGGATGTTCCCACTTTGCTCTCCTCTCCATCTTCCTTTCTAAATACTTAGTCACTTTAATGAGACAGCATTATCTTCTTTTGACCCACTCTGCTCACCTGATACCCAGAGGTGATGAGTCAACTCTTCAACCTCCTACTCTTCATTGAAGGACTCCTAGCAGCTGATAATCTGAACGAAAGAAACTAGAAATAGTTTTATAACTAGGATGCAATCATCCCCCTATGTTATCTCCCTCCTCCCCCCACCCTACCCAACATTTTGGCTAATATTTATTAACAGAACCTACCTTGCCCCTAGCTCTTCCTGACAATGGTCATTGACTAGTTCTAGGAAAGAAAGATGTCAAACAGGGTTAGAAACCTTGGCTTTCTGATCCCAAATACGAAGAAACAAGCCTGCACTGCAATTATTTCTGTTTGGTTTATCTCTTTATGTTTATGGTAATTTCTCAAAGGTTGACCTCTTGATATGGAAAGATAGGCCTCTCACATTTTCCTTGGAGTTCAGTGTTGATTAGTGTCTTGGCTTCTGGCTGTTTACTTTTCTCCTGTGTGTAGAAGAAGATTCTACATGTTTTGTCAGGAAGAATACTACTTGTATTAATTGGTCACCCTGTCCTCAGTGTTGATTAAATCTGGGAATGATTTACTACAGAGATGAAGGCAAGATTCAGGTTCTGAGAAACAAGTCCATTGACTCCTCTATAGCATGATCCTGACTCCATATTTCAGACTCTCTTTGTTATCACAGACATCACAGGGCACAAAATCTATGTCCTAAAAAAAAGCCCACCAGAGTTCATCAAAACCAAAATGTTAGCTTCCTTTTCCCCTCTTCTGTGATGTCATTTGTTTAACTCAAATGAACTTCTTGCCATTAAAAATGGGGAAATACAATTTTTTTTCAATGCTATTTGAGCCTGTTTTGAGGTCTTGTGGACGGAAATCTCCTGATTATTTGGTTGGAATGATTCATGTAGTAGGGCAGTCTGAGGAATGACCTTTATCTTGTCCTTGCCTTTATTTTTCTTTTCTAGATGGAAACTAATCATTTGAGGTTGGCAGCATGCATTAAAAAATCCTTTTCAATGGATTTTTTTTCCATATTCTACTACTTTAGCCCAAAGACCTTCAGTCTTAGGCTGTATTCCAAAGACACCTCACACAGGCTGTTTTAGCTAGTCAGAAATTATAGTAAGCCCCTCTTTGTGGTTGGGTTGACCTAGGATCCACTACATTTCTGTCAAAAACAGATAGGGTTACAGCTTACTTCTGATGAGGAGGAAAGGTTTGTAGTGATGAAAACACTGGCCCTGGATTTCATGCATTGGAGCATTCCCATGAATGAAACCAGACAAGCCAACTGCCATGCCTGAACTCCATGCAAATGGCTGTCCAAAACTGCTGAATTCTTGGGTATTGAAAACACCATGTTTTCCTATCACAGTCCCTCCATGCAATGCTCCTTTCAGCAGACAGGATGGCTGGTTTGGTTAACCACACACACACAAATAAAATAAAACAGTAGTGCTTTTTCCTGATGCTCCAAGAATGTCCATAAGTTAAGAAGAATGACATGACCCAGGAGCAACTGACCATCCTGTCACCATATACGATGTCATATTCAAAGGAAAGAAGCAGTACACCCACTGAACAACCGACTAGAGATGAAATGGTCATGACATTCACTTACTCTAGGCAGGCGTTGGGGAGGGAATGATAAAGACATAACAGTTCTATAATAGTCCATAGGAAGCAATTCCAAAGATATGGTTAAGATTTCTAACAGCCACAAATATTTATCCTATTCATCCAAGCTGTTTTCAATATGCCAAGTCAGCTATTTACTATGGAATAACCATCTCATTACCTAAAGAAGTGTTTATTTTGATTGACTAAATGTAGAATAAATATATCGAAGTTTAGGGGCAATACCATCAAGCCAAGTATAACTAAATACAGATGGATTTGGGCTCCTGGACCCTCTTATTACATCTCCCACTCAGCTCCCTTCCCTATGAACTCATCCCCTTAGTCCATAAGAATCTTATGCTCAGTTCAAAGACTGCTAAAAGTGAAGGTTACTCTTTTTCCTTTTCTTTTTCATTACTTTTCCAGTAAGTATAGAGCCAAAAAGTAAAGTATTATCATTTATTATGATCACTATTTATTGCTTATATTTGTGAAATGTGATTAAACTTTGTGGGGTTTTAATTTTTTTAATTTTTAAATTTTATTTTTTCCAATTACACATAAAAACATTTTTAACAGTTTTTTTAAAAAAAAAATTTGAGTTCCAAATTCTTTCCCTCCCTTCTTTCCCTCCTCATTGAGAAAGCAAGCAATTTGATATAGATTATATATGTACAGGCATGCAAAACATATTTCAATATTAGCCCTGCTGCAAAAGAAAACACAGACCAAAACAAAAATAAAAGTTAAAAAAATGTATGCTTCAATCTACACTCAGATTCCATCAGTTCTTTATCTGAAAGTGTACAGCATTTTTCATTTTAAGTCTTTTGGAATTGTCTTAGATCACTGTAATACTGAAAATAGTTCAGTCATTCACAGGTGATCATCATATAATATTGTTATTACTGTATACTGTGGTTCTGCTCAACTCACCTTGCATCAATTCATACAAGTCTTACCAGGTTTTTCTGAAACCATCCTGTTCATCATTTCTTAAAGCACATCACAGTCATATGCCACAACTTATTCAGCCATTCCCCAACTGATGGGTTTCCCTTCAATTTTCAATTCTTTGCCATCACAAAAAAAAAAAGCTTCTATAAATATTTTTGTACATATAGGTCCTTTTCCTTTTTTAAAAATCTCTCTGAGATAGACCTGATAGCACTAAGATCAAATGGTATGCACAATTTCATAGCCCTTTGGGCATAGTTCCAACTTGTTCTCCAGAATGGTTGGATCTGTTCACAACTCCACCAATAGTGTTCCAATTTTTCCATATTCCCTTCAATATTTGTCATTTTCCTTTTCTGTCATATTAGCCAATTTCACAGGTGTGAGGTGGTACCTCAGAATTGTTTTAATTTGCATTTCCCTAACCAATAGTGATTTATAGCATTTTTCATATGATTATAGTTTTGATTTCTTCATCTGAAAGCTGCTTATTCATATCTTTTGACTATCAATTGGGGAATGACTCATATTCTTATTAATTTGACTTAGTTATATATTTGAGATATGAGGTATTTATTATTAGAGGAACTAGTAAAATGAGATATTTATTGGAGAAACTAGTAAAACTTTTAGTTTAGAAAACAGTAAAAGTTTAGTTTAGAAAGCAATAAAATAGTAAAAAATTTGTATCTATTTCTGCTTTCTTCCTAATCATGGCTGCATTGACTTTGTTAGTACAAAAAACTTTTAAATCCCATGTAATCAAAATTATCTTTTACTTTCCATAATGCTATCTCTTGTTTGAGCATAAATTCCTCCCTTATCTATAGATCTGACAGGTAAAATATTCTATGATCCCCTAATCTGCTTATGCCATCACCCTTTATGTCTAAGCCAGGTACCCATTTTGACCTTATATTGGTATACAATGTGAGATGTTGGTCTATATCTACATTCTGCCAAACTGCTTTCTAGTTTTCCCAGCAATTTTTGTCAAGTATTAAGTTCTTGTCCCAAAAGCTTGGATTTTTGCATTTATCAAGAACTAGATTACTGTGGTCATTTACTACTGTGTGTTGTGTGCCTAATCTATTCTACTGGTCTACCGCTCTATTTCTTAACCAGTACGAGATTGTTTACTGCTTTGTAATACAGTTTGAGATCTGCTACTGCTAGACTACCTTCTTTCACATTTTTTTCATTGATTCCCTTGATATTCTTGACCTTTTGTTCTTCCAGATGAATTTTGTTATCATTTTTCCTAGCTCTATAATTTTTGGTAATTTGATTGGAATAGCACTAAATAAATAAATTAATTTAAATAGAATTGTCATTGTTATTACATTGGCTTATGCCACACATGAGCAATTCATATTTCTCTATTTAAATCTGATTTTATTTGTATGAAAATTGTTTTGTAAATGTGTTCATATAGCATTTTATATTATCTAATTATTTTAAGTGGAACTTCTTTTTCTATCTCTTCCTGCTGGATTTTATTGGTTTTTATGCCCTATGTGGTCAATTTTTGTGTAGGTGACATATACAGCTGAGAAAAAGGTATACTCCTTTCCATTTCCATTCAATTTTCTCCAAAATGTCTCCAAAATTTTCATGTCTAACTTTTCTAAAATTCTTTTTCTCTCCTTAACTTCTTTCTTGTTTGTTTTTTGGTTAGATTTATCTGGTTCTGAGAGTGGCAAGTCAGGGTTCCTCAAAAGTATATTTTTACTATCTATTTCTTCCTGTAACTTACTCATTCTATCACCTCCTCTTTCTCTTATTCCCCTCCCTTCCTTCTGCCCTTGGTCAAGACAGATTTGTATACTGAGTATGTATGTTGTTCCCTCTTTGAGCCAATTCCAATGAAAATAAGGTTCAAGCATTTCCCACACACATCCCCATCTTCTCCACTCTAAAAGCTTTTCCTTTCATACCTCTTCTATGTGAGATAATTTATCCCATCCTACCTCTCTACCTTCCCTCTTCTTCTGGTGTATCCCTTTTTCTCACTCTTTCATTTAATTTTAAAAAATCATTCCATCATAGTCAATTCATGCCCATACCCTCTAAGTATACTCCTTTTAACTACCCTAACAATGATGAATTTTTTAGGAGTTAAAAGTCTTATGTTTTTATGTAGTAGTGTAAGTAGTCTAATTTCATTTAATCCCTTAAGATTTCTCTTTCCTGTTTGCCTTTTTATGTTTCTCTTAAGTTTTGTATTTGAAAGACAAATTTTCTATTCAGTTATGGTCTTTTCATCAGGCATGCTTGAAAGCTTTCTATTTTATTAAATATCCATTCCCCCCCCCCCCGAAGGATCATACTCAGTTTTTCTGGGTAAGTGATTCTTAGTTATAATCCCAGCTCTTTTACCCTCCAGAATATCATATTCCAAACCCTTCAATCCTTTAATGTAGATACTGCTAAATCTTATATTACCCTGACTGTGGCTCCACAATATTTGACTTGCTTCTTTCTGGCCACTTACAATATTTTCTCCTTGACCTGAGAGCTCTGGA